GAATGGCTTGGATTATGACGTTCGCCCAGCAAACGAGTGATAAGCATATAAACAGCCTTCTTTTTCGAGCAAACCATATTTGATCATTAAATCAGCAAAAAATTGCAAGAAATCGATATACATACATATCGTCGTTTAAAGTACAAAACCGCGTATCAAGAAAATGCAAAACCGCGTATCTGAGCTCGTAACTGGTCTTATTTCAAAACGGTTCTCTCTTTTATCCCTAATTATCTCTTCTGTTAATATCCAAGTATCGGTATTTTAGTATAAATGGATAAGGAAGGGCTTGTTGATGCCAGGAGCTTCCTTCCAGTGCGAAAATATATGTTTTGGCGCAAATGTCAGTTTTACGAGGTTTTGCTGAACATCGATACGCGGTTTTGTACTTTAAACGACGATATGTTTATGCATGCACATACATACATACATATGTATTTATGTAATGTACCAACATAATGTAACGGAATTGCATAATGCATTTCATGAGCAGCAAAAGTATACTTCAGCTAGAACTAAACAGGGCCGTCGTTATGCCTGATATATATGTACGCACAAACATATCAGAGATATTTCAAATTTAATTTCCATTAATGTGACCTTTGCATGTGGAAATTGCAAAGAGATTTTTTTAACATTTATACACGAATACACATGTACATACATATATACCTACTTACTCACGTACTGAGCTTGTACATAGTAAACAAACCAAGCGCGTAAATTCTTCTTGGCTGACTTGTGATAACATATTTTTACTCCACTCGACATCCAAAACAAGGGCAATTGTATGGCATGTCACGTGCAATCTTTTGCTATTTCAGTTGCGCTGTCACATGCATGCGATGCCATGTCAACTGGAATGCAATACCCGCCGTGATTGTACATAGAAGGAACATCCTTTCAACAACAAAACGACGGGCAATGAGTTGAAAACACGGTCATCTCCCCACACTGTTATGAATTGATATTGTACACATGTACATACATACATATGTAAATACATACATACATGTGGACATAAATCGGACATTTAGGGCTTGAATAGCTTATGGCCGTTATCGATTAGCAAGTGGCGAATCAAATAGCATCTCCGCTAAAGTTGAAGCAATAGGAGTATGTATTCACCACATTGACAACAAACGTTGCTTGAGCTATATTCTGCTCTTTTGCCAGAGTGCCAGGCCACTTTGGCCAATTTGGTGAATACCGATAATGATTTAGAGAGCCCTTAACGGGCTATGTAGCTGTAACTATACTACTATACTCGCTTACTTTGTTATTATTTCACCATACACACATTTTTGATTAAGCCAGCAGGGATGACCACACAAGTTTATCTCATTAAGTCTAACTGAACATAGTATCGAAGATGTTTGAAATAGGTGTAAAACCACTCCTGCTTACCATGTCATGGTAGTTTTCTGAGATGTGGTAAAACGATATTCATCATTTCATTTATTTATTTAAATGCGCATATAAGACATAGTCTTTTACAGTGGCATATTTCATAACAATTACATAATAATAAAATTTTGGTAGCTTAAAGAATATACATATGTATACTCATCAGTTGTTAAACGAGTTTTTGAACATTTCATATATTTTTCAGTTGAAGAAAGAAATAGAAAAGTGGGAAACAAAAGAATTCGACAACTATACGGCTCTAATAAAAAACATTATTGATGTAACTGAATACTTAAATAAAATAAATTACGATAAGATTGCATATGCGAGTTGACTGTTCAAATGTCAGTTTCGAAAAGAGCTATTTCGGGCAACGGGTGTAGATTTAATACTTTATACATGAATAACACCAAACGACGATCAAAGAGTATAGATATGCTGCAGTTAAGAATATTTGTCGAAAACATTATCAATATTGTAGGAAAAATGAGATAGGGCAATTGCCTGCATTTTGGACGAATTGAGGTTAAGCCTGTTATTTTTCGACCACAGAAAAATAGCTTGTAAGTCTTCATTTATTCTGTTAAGCCTAGAGGGACAGAGGTATATCTGAGTGGCGTCAGCATAAAGGTGAATTGATACAATTTTGCAGCATTTTTCTAAGTCATTAACTGACTTGACTTAATTGACT